TCTGTTTTGGAAGAAGTGCAGCCAGAGTGCTCCTTGGAGGCCAAGATGGCTAAACTTCATCTCTCATACTTTCGACATGTTATCAGTAGGGAACTGTCGCTGGAGAAGGATGTCATGCTGGGTAAGGTGGAGGGTCAGAGAAAAAGAGGAAGACCCCCAACGAGATGGATCGGCCAGGTGACATCATTGATGACGTCAAGTGTGGCAGCGATAGTGAGGTTGGCTCAGGATCGGACATTGTTTCATTCTACTGTGCATGGGGTCGCTATGAGTCGGTTCCTACTCTATGGCACCTGACAACAACAAACAACAACATTCTCATTGTAAGGAAATAGTTCTAAAGTTTTTATTAAACACAGGACATTACGTGGATACCGAGTTTACAAATCTAGGGATCTTAGGTGAAACTTTATTTGATAGCAGTTTGTTTTTTCTTAATTATAGGAAAATTACTTTGGAGAGGATGACATGTATATGGATTTTGAAGAGATTATTTCTAGTCCTGTTCTGTCACTGTCAACATCATCGAGCTCTGGGTGGACTGCTGTTGGAATGGAAAACGACAAAAAGGAGAATGAAAGTTCAGCCAAGTCAATTCATCCACTTTCTTTGCGTCCTTGGGATATTACTGTGCTTGTTAATTTGTACAAAGTTCATGGGCGTCTTCCTGTTGTAAGTATCCACATATCAAGATAGTGTTGAGTATATCATGAAATCCACACAATCTAGGAAAATGATACACACATTTGTGTACATGCCCATGTAGATAATTACTCAATAACTTGTACATTTAATCCTTTACTTTCATTTCATAAGGCTAATGTTATTTTCTTCAAATATGGTTACTCTGGATATGTTATCATTCATAATTTTACTTTCTGTTTTAATTCTTTAAGTCTTTCTTTGCTGTTCTGTGTAACTTTAGAACATTTTGCCTTGACATTGAATTGCTGGGTTTATAGTTAACCAGATAGGTATTCTAGAACTTAAATTTCTCTAGATCTTAGACCAGATTGGGGTCTTATGGTAGACTTATGGTAGAATCCACTTCCAAAAGGTTGACCTTGGAGGTTAAATTTTGTCAGTCATAGACTTAGCTGACAAAATTTCTTCATTCACTATAAGGATGCCCTTAGACTGTTGGAGCTCATTTGAATGAGATTATGTTTCCCAGAAGGCCTAGGCTTTTTGGAGCTAGGCCTGATAGACAGGGACTCACCAGAGAGCTTTGTGGTACATATACAGGTTATAAGTCATGAACCCAGGGTTGCACATCAGAATAGTCACTTTTGGTGCTTATGTAGCTGTCCTTATTATGTACAGAATAGTTCTTTTGTCAGTAAAGAAATTAAAAAAAAAAAAAAATTTGAAGTCTCTTAATCCTGTTGTGACACTGTAGGATAAACACTGGACTGCTGACTGTAAGTTTGGCAGTCCAAACCCTTCAGTTGCTTCATGGAAATCCCATGCAGGTTTATTATACTTGACGGAACTTAACAACAACAAATCATAGTAAATGTTTTTATTTTCTTAGACTTCTTGGTCTTCACATTTTCTGTATTTTGATGATACTATTTTACTTGACTTTTAGCATGGAACTACTGATGGTCATGAGTGCCCTACAGCTTTTTTGGAAAGACTATGTTTTGAAATGAAAAAAGGATTTAGAGAGACCATGCTACAACTTGTCCTGTCACCGCTGAATGTGTTTGTCAGTGATAACTATCAGGTAATGTCAAAATAACTTAATATAATGACTTAGGGATTTATTATTGAAATTTATGTGCTCAATAATATTTATATGTATAGCTCTTTAAATTCAAAACATTTAAGAAGTTTTGTGAATACATATGAAAGATCATTTGATTATGAATTGTGTTTCAAAAATCTGTTTTGTTTTTGCTGCTTCCTATTGATATGCTTTCCAAACAATTATATTTTATATCTTTTGATTTTTATATATGTAAAGAAATACTTTATGATTTTTTTCATGCATTTATAGAAGGAAAAAACTAATTGTATAAAATGTTGATAGTTTTTGTTAAAAATCACATTAGTATTAATATTTGTTGTTGTTTTTATTAAGTGTCATTGAGTTGATTTCAACTAATAGCAACCCTATATGGAGGGTTTCTGAAGAGCCACTGGTGAGTTTGAACCATTGACTTTGCTGTTGAAACAACCTTGTGGTCCAGTGTTTATCCTACAGTGCCACACTAGGATTCCAGTATTAATATTTGTTGTTGTTAAGTATTGTCGAGCTGGGTTTCTGAGGAGCGGCTGGTGAGTTTGAACCACTGACCATGTGGTTCAAACTGGCTTTGCATTCCAGTGCATTAACCCACAGCGCCATGCCAGGACTCCCAGTATTAATATTGTTGTTGTTGTTGTTAAGTGCCGTCGAGTCGGTTCCGACTCATAGCGACCCTGTACAGGGTTTCCGAGGGTATAAATCTTTACGGGAGTAGAAAGCCTCATCTTTCTCCCGCGGAACGGCTGGTAGTTTCGAACCGTTGACCTTAAGGTCCGCAGCCCGATTCGTAACCATTAGGCAACATCATATTGACGAAATTTGGAAATGGATGAAAATAACTATTATCACTGAATAGTACATATGAAAAATATTGAAATGATGAACTATTTGTTGCATGTACATTTACCACAATAATATAGTTAAAAAAATATTATTGAGCACTATAAATCTTCAAAGTGTACATATAATGAATATATAGTCAATGACATTCATATAGCTCACTTACAAGATATTTTGTTAATTTCTTACAGATACCTATGGGATTCTTTTGAAAGCAAACCAATGATACTAATCAAGAAGGAATATTTTACATTCCTGACTTGATTTATTATCACTTTATTTTTACATTTTAAATACTCAAGTGCTTCTTTTGGCACCTGCCACTACAAGACTCCCTTCTCTACTTTTAATCAAGTTATTTGCTCCAGAAATATTACTTTAGACAAATTAATACAGACTAAATGAAATTACAAACAGGAAGGTGAATTTATACCAAAGATCATATTAAATGTTATACACTTAAAAAAAATAAAACTCTTCTACTGTAGCCAACGACATTTTTCTTTTTAGAATTTTAATTTATAAATGTATATAAATATATATAGTGTAAGCACTGGACTGCTGACCCGAAAGTCAGTGGTTCAAACCCACCAGTCACTCCTCGGAAACCCTATATAGAGTTGCTATGAGTCCGAACCAACTCACCAGCACTAACAACCACGATATTTATTATTCAGCTACATATTTGATATAGCTGATGTAATAATAAGTAAAATATAGCACTTAATATATGCTAGACATTGGTTTTACTTGTTCTTGTCTCAGTATGTGTATTTCTATTTTAAAGCTTTTTATTTGAAATAATTGTAATTTCATTGGAAGTTGCAGAGAGGTACAGAGAGGTCTCATTTACCCTTCACCCAGTTTCCCCTAATGATTGTATTATACCTAATTATGATTGCCAGTGTTTTGTACTGTTGAGTCAGCTTTGATTTGGAGCCACCCTGTTAGGTTGTTTAGGGTGTCCGAGAGTGGCTGGTAGGTTTGAACTTCTGACCTTGTGATTATCAGTCCAGTGCTTATCCTATAGTGCCCAACATCAAAACCAGAAAATGACACTATTACGATGTGTGTACTTAATTATTATTTTACCACTTGTGAACATTTCTGTAACTGTAACAAAATACATTCTGTATGAGTTGTATGTTGTTGTTAAGTGCCATCGAGTTGGTTCTTGACCCTTTGAGACCTGTATAGGGTGTCCATGGAGCAGCTGGTGAACTTGAACTGCCAGCTTTGTGGTTCAAACCGACTTTGCAGTCCAGTGCATTAACCATTATGGTGCATTAACCAGCACCATATCAGGACTTCAAACCTCACAAATGACTCTTGTCCTCCACTCTGTTATTGTCCATTAGAATTGATTGCTTTTTATTCTGTAAGGTGAGTGTGTGTGTGTGTGTGAAAGCCTGCCCTCTTTTTCAGTGTATAGGTGTCCTTGCTATAATAAAATCCTACAGAGTGGATAGTTTTAAAGAACAGAAATGTATCACCTAATGTTTCTTCTGTGGTGCTGTTGGGAAAACACTTTACCGCAAGGTTGGTTTGAACTGTAAGGTCTGCGGTTCTATCCCATTAGCTGCTCCTTGAAAATCCTATACAAGATCGCTATGAGTTGGAACTGACTCGAAGGAACTTAACAACAACAATAACGTTTCTGGAGGCCAGAAATAAAAATGTAAGAGTACTAACAGTTTTGATTCCTTTTTGAAAGATTCTGAAAGTCCAACTGGTCCATGCTTTTCTCCTAACTTCTAGTGACTGCTGGCAATCCCTAGCATTTATTGGCTACATATGGATGTGTCTTCATTTGGTCTTCCTCATGTGTATGACTTTGCATTTTTTATTTATAAGACACTTCTTAGAATGGATTTGGATTTCTTCAGTCAGATGTAACTGATAGTGCCTTAAAGAAAAACCCTCGCAGGCAAAGGGTTCCGTATATCTTTTTGGAGGATACAATTCAGTCTTTAACAGTATTAATAAAGGTAGAAGGGGAAATCTTCTCTTTTTGTAGGTGAATTTAAGAATCTCTTAGATGAATGAGTAACTCTGATAACACTTTTTAAAAAAAAGTTTTTATTTTGAGTAACTATACATTATCAGGAGTAGCAATGTGGGTTAAAGTGCTGGACTACAAAGTCGGTTTGGACCACAAGGTCAGCAGTTCAAACTCACCAGTGCTGTTTGGAAACCCTAATAGGGTTGCTATGGGTCAGAATCGACTCGACGGCACTTAACAACAACAACAATACATTATCATTTCATGGCAAGAAACGATAGAGAGAGATCAGTATACCCTGCATTCATGCCTCAATTCTAACAATATAGTAGTATAAGATCATAAGTTCCGTCATAAGATGCAGTACTGGAAGCACTCACTATTCTGTGTTAAGAAATTTGAAAGACCAACTACCTGTCCAGCTTAGACAAGATCCATATTTGTGCCTATTTCAAAGAAAACTGACCCGATAGAATGTGGAAATTATCAAACAATATGATTAATGCAAGTAAAGATTTGCTGAAGATAATGTAAAAATGGAGTCTTGATGTGGCTTTGTAGGATAAGCACTGGACTGCTAATGGCAAGGGCGATGGTTTGAACCTCCAACTACTCGGAAACAGGCTCACTATGGATCCGAATCAACTCGAGGGCAATTAACAACAACAATGCAAAAATGGTTGCAGCCTTTTAGGATGCTGCCAGAAATTCAAGTTGGATTTAAAAGAGGACATGGAACAAAAGAAATCATTGCTGACATCAGGTGGATCTTGGCTAAAAGCAGAGAATTCCAGAAAGATGTTTGTTGTTAAGTGTCATCAAGTTGGTTCCAACTCATAAAGACCCTGTATAAGGTTTCTGGGGAAAGGCTTGTGAGTTTGAACTGCTGACTTTGCAGTTCACACCGACCTTGTGGTCCATGCTTAGACAATAGTGCCACACCAGGACTCCATAGAAAGATATTTACTTGTGCTTTATTGAGTATGCAAAGCCATTCAACTATGTGGGTACTAACAAACTATGCAAAGAATAGAAATTACAGAACACATAGTTATGCTCATATGGAATGTGTGCAAAGAACAAGGGGCAGTTGTTTGAATAGACCAAGGGGATACTGTGTGTTTTAAAATAAGCAAAGGTGTGCATCCAGGTTGTATCCTTTCATCTTACCTATCCAGTCTGTATATGAATAAGAAGGTGGAATCAGTATTGGAGGAAAACTGTGATATGCAGATGACACAGCCTTGACGAGGACTTGAGGTACTTACTGATGAAAATAAAAGACTATAGCCTTCAGTTTACAACTCAGTATAAAGAAAACAAAAATACAACTGGACCAATAAACAGCATGACAAATAGAGAAAAGGCTGAAGTGTCAATAATTTCATTGTATGTGGATTCACAGTCTACACTCATGAAAGCAGCAGTCAAGAAATCAATTGATGTTGGACAAAGCTTCTGCAAAAGAGCTCTTTAAGGTGTTAAAGAGCAAAGCTGTCCCATGGAGAACCAAAGTCCTCCTGACTCAAGCCAGGGGATTTTTCAGTCACCCCATATATGTGTGGTGGTTATGAATCGGGCTGCGAACCCTAAGGTCAGCAGTTCAAAACTACCAGCTGTTTCGCGGGAGAAAGATGAGGCTTTCTGCTCCCGTAAAGATTTACAGTCTCGGAAACCCTTTACAGGGTCGCTATGAGTCAGAACCGACTCCACGGCACATAACAACAACAATATATGTGTGGAGAGTGCATTGATTCCATAGAATAAGCACTGACCTGGGAACCATGGGAGAAAGATGAGGCAAAATTTTACAAGCCTTGGAAATCTTATTACAGGGTCATTATGAGTTGGAACTGACTCAATAGCACTTAACAACAACATATACGTGTGAAAGCTGGACATGAATATAGAACAGAGAAGAATTGATATACTTGATTATGGTTTTAGAGAAGAGTATTAAAAGTACCGTGGATTGCCAGAAGAACAAACCAATCTGTTTTAGAAGACGGATAGCCTGAATGTTTTTAGAAACAAGAATGGTGAGACTTCATCTCACTTACTTTGAACATGTTTTCATGAAGGACTAGTTCCTGGAAAAGGAAATGATGCTACTCCCTGGAAAAGGACAACAGTT